TCCCCCCAGGCCACCATCATGGGCTCGTTGCCTTCACTCACCCCTCGAATGTGTGTGTTCCCCAGGCCCCCAGGCCTTGGCACCTGCTGTCTCCATCTGCTCTCTTGGGCAACCTCCCCTACTCTGGAGGCTCTGGTTGTGCTCACACATCCTGGGCCCTCGCTCCTGCCCAGACCCCTGCCCAGAGCTCCAGAACCCTGGACCGATCTGCCCCTTGGGCCTCTCCACCTTGAGGACCCAGACTCAACATGGCCAAGCCTGAGCATATTGCCCACCCCCCTCTTGTATTCCCTGCCTGTGAGAATGGCATCACCAGCTAGCCCTGCTCCCTAGCTGGAACTAGGAGTCATGCAAGGCACAGTCATCCTCAACACCTCCCTCTCGCCCCCACATGGAATTGGTCATCAGTGCCTATGGATTTCAGCTTCAGGAAGGATCCCCAGCACATCCTCCTCTAAGCAGGACCTGGGGTCTCTCATGGACTCTGCTTCCCCCACTGCTTCCCGGGAGGCTTCCCTGCCCCCTCACTTATCCCTCTAGCCCACCCTTCATACCCACCACCACCAGAGAGACCTTTCTAAAACTGAGTCAGGATCATAGTCCACTCTTGCTCACACTCCTTCCATGGCCCCCCATTGCCCTCAGACAAAGCGCTAACACCTTCGTGTGGCGTACAGGGTCCAGCCCCACCTCCATTTCCTGCCACATTTCTAACACGCCCAACATTGTCCACCCCAAACAGGACATGCTAGCCAGCTAACGCGTTTTCCTTCACCCAGCAAGCTTTTCCCACCCTCTGCTATCAAACTCCTCCATTTGCTTCCTGGCCCACCTCCTCTAGGAAGCCTTCCTTGGTTCTCCACCAGTGAGTTGTAGCCCCCACTGCACCCCAGTTTCCATGGCACTTTTCTTGTCTCTCTGGAACCCATCTGCTTTCACTGTCTGACGTCTCCCCAGACTACAAGCTTCTGAAGGGCAGGGGCTGGACTTGTGCATGTCTGTGTGCCCAGTCCTCGTGTATGGTGTTGGCAGCCACAGATGACTGCTAACCTGAGGGAAGATTGAATTGAAACAGAGAGAAAGCCTTGAATGCCATCTCTACTCTAAGCCCAAACTCCTGCTCCCAAGCATCTCAACAGCCTCCCCCAGGAGCCTGCCCACTGCCTGCGTTTCCCCCATGCTTCCCTCCTACCTGGTGCCCACAGCACAGTGGGTAGCCCAGGGGAGACTGGGGGTGCCGGGGTCTGTGGCAGCCTACACCAAGAGAGAAGTTTCCATTCCCACTGGGGCCAGTGCTCCCCAGGGAGTGGGCAGTGGCCGTGGTCCTCTGCCGTGGTGGTGAGCAGCCTCTGATTTTAATGCGGGCCTCAGTGCTTCAGTGAAAGCCAGCATGGGAAGTTGCTAATAATGGCACTAAAATAAAGTATGCTACATCTGTTATGGGTAGCAGAACAAAATTAGCTGCTCACACCTCTGACATCCAAGATGTCTTAACTTAAAATACTCCTTGGCTTACTTTACATCATTTACTGATTATATTTAAAAGAAATACAATTTTGCAATTACTGTTCTTTCCAGCGTGATATCTATGCATCATTTTCCTTTTATGTTTATATATTTCTCCTTCATTAGTGCAGTCTGAAGGGTGATTAGGATTCTTCAAACATTTTACAGAGGTTAAACGTTGATTAAGATTTAATTATTACTGTAAATAGCTTGGAATGACATATGGTGCAAAAGCCTGACATATGTGCATTTGAATAAATGAAGTGCTATTTCCCAGGATGCCTCAGTAGCTGTTTAACAGCTTTCCCGAAGGGTTATGTTACACCTCATGGTAAGATTGCTGGGATGTTATATTTTGTTGGTTTTTGCAGCTGAAAGCTAAGAACAGTTTTCCAGTTTTTTAAAAACATTGAATATTTTAAATACCTAAATTGTTTTGCACAAATTTTTGCTAATTTGTCTAACTAGGTTAAACATTTTCAAAAGCATTTAGATTTTTAAGCGTGGGCGCTGTGCATTGTGTCAGTGGCAGCGTGGGGACGAGGGGAACTGGCGGGGTGGAGGGGACATGGAGGCTGGCAGGGGTGGGGAGGGAGAAGGTGGCTTGAGGAGAGGCGATAGGAAGAGGCCTGGGTCCTGAACCTAACTCTTGTCTGTTTGGTCCTCTCAAATGGTCAGAGCCTGGGTATTGGGGTACCAGGGACTGCGGAGGAAAGGCTCCTCCTTCTCCAGGAGCGCCACCATGCCCACCTGTCCCAGTCCACAGGAGCCATGTCTTGCCTGGTCTCTGACGTGCGTGGCCTGCGCATCGCTGAGTTCTGTGCAGAGTCCTCCCTCCCTAGCCTGACTGAGTTCTTACACGGCCCGGGTGCGTCTGTGCCACCTTCTGCCTACTCCCCCAGGGTTGCCATGGCTTGACATACAGCAGGGCCTGGGACCGAGTTCAGCTGGTTGAAGTTACCAAGGCCTATCGCTGAGGTGGCTCCTCCCTACCCCAGCTCCTCTCAGGTTGTGGGCTCAGGCATCCCCACAGGCTCAGTCCTAGAGCTGAAGACCAACGTCTGGGCTGCTGGTGGGCTCCAGGGGGTCCCCATCCTCCCAGTACCTTCTGCCTCTTTTCATTCCACTCATTTATTCAACACTCATTGAGTACCTACTGTGTGCCAGAACTATGCTAGACTTTTAGGATACCGGGATGAACAAGATTAACACACTCTCTGCCTCATGGAGCTTACCATCTAATGTGGAGAGCCAGCCCCCAAACAGTGATACAGTACTCAGAATAAGAAGTGCAGGGAGCAGTGGGTACACGGGAGAGGTGGCCAAACCCAGCCTAGATGAAGGAAGGTGTCAAAGCTGAGACATGAAAGATCAGCCAGAGGCAGGGGAAAGCAGGGGTGGAGGAGATGGAGCAGAAGTGGAAGGAAGTGTGTTTCTGGCAGAGGGAACAACAGTTCAGACAAAGACTCAGAGGTGAGAAATAGCCCAGTGTGTCTGAAGAATTGAAATAAGTTATGTCTGGCCAGTGTCTTCAGTACGGGGTGGGATGGGTGGGGGGGTGAGGGGTGGCAGGGCTGGAAGGCACGGGAGTCTGACTTGATCCCTGTGGGCAGTGGGAGCCACTGAGCCATTTTACAGTAGAGAGAGGCATGATCAGACTTGTGCGTTAGAAGGCTCACACTGGCCATGGTGGAGTAGATGGAAGGGGTTGGAGGAGGCTTTGGGGGGAGGGAAAAGAAGGAGACAATTACAAGGCCCCAGGATTTTAGGCCAGAGCACCCTGAGTGGTGGTGTCAGTCCCCAGATGGGTAGCTGGGTGGGCAGGGGAGATAGTTATTTCAGTTCTGTTTTGAACGGGTTGAGTCCAGGTTCCTGTGAGACACTCAAATAGAGAGGTCTAGCATGTAGTCAGCTGTGGGCCTGTGGCTCGAGGAGAGGCGTGGCTGGAGATACCCTAGATGTGGGAGTAACCAGTGGGTGAGATGACCCAGGGGCATATGCAGAGGAGAAGACCAAGCCCCAAGGACCCAGCAACATGACAATATTGCTCAGAGGGGGGAAATCAGGAGAGAGAGATGTGTAAAAGAAGACAAGAAAAGAGTGTTTCGGAGACAAGGAAACGGTCAACAGCATGGGGTGCTCCTGAGAGATCAAGGAGTAGGAGGCCTGAGAAGTGTCCAGTGAGTGTAGCAAAAAGGACGGTGGTAGCCATCTTGCAGAGAATTTCAGTGGAGTGTAGTGGGAACAGAAGCCAGATTTTATGTGGGTTGAAAAGTCAGTGGGAGCTGAGGAGGTGGAGACTGCTAATGTAGACAACCCTTGAAAAGGAATTTAGTTTGTAGAGGAAGAGAGAGACCTGGCAGTAGCTGGAGCATGACATGGGATTAAGGGAAGGTTTTAGCCGATGGAAGTTTCTGATGTGTTGAAACGCTGATGGCAGGAGTCAGTAGAGTGAAGAGGTGGGGAAGACTGATGACAATTCAGGATCAAGCTCCAGGAGTGGGTGGGAGGGAGATGGAGCCCAGCTGGGGGGATCTGCCTTCCAAGGTGAGGGATGCTGCTGTGGGGTAACAGGAGGGAGGTGTGGAACAAAGTGGACACAGGTAGGCTGAGTTTGATGATAGGAAGCTGAGAGTGTTCCCTCCTGATGCCTTCTGTTTTCTCTCTGAAGTAGGAAGAAGGTTCATCTGCTCAGGATGCATAGGGATATGAGGGTGGGTATGGCTGAGAAGAACAGAGAAGGTTTCAGGGGCCTCTGTGGAGAATGAGAGAGAGAGTTGACCAGGCTAATGGATTGTAGCTGACCACTGTGAGGGTCTAGCCAAAACCAGGGATGGTGAATTTTGAGTGGCCTCCATCAGGTAGTCAGGTTCAAATGTAGAGAAGGTGGATGGATGATTGGGTTCCTCCAAAGCAGGACTTCCACCAGCCAGGGTTGGAAGGACATTGGGACAGGGAGTGGTTGACATGATGGCCCATGGTGTATGAGTTGGAAGAGGGGATTTTTTGAGAGATAGGGAGTCTGAGGCCTGAGGTCTTGGGGTTTAAAAACAGGGGGAGGAGTGAGTGAGGTGATAGCGGGGTAGGGGATTGTGGGCCCAAGAAGGTGGGGTGTGGACTTAAGGCATCTGGGTGATGACCAGGTCCAGGGTGTGGCCCTGGGAGTGGGTGTCTGCAGTGCGGTGAACAGCGTCGTTAGAGATGAGGGAGACACAGAACTCTGAGACCAGAGTGTAAGATGTTCATCCACATGGAAACAATTTCACAAGGAAAAGGCACAACTTGGCTGGAAGGGATACTGTGAACCACGTGTCAGGAGGGCAATAGAGAAGGAAGATGTGGCAGTAGACAGGGCACGTGGGCCCTGGCTCAGAGGGCACAGAGGGGCAGAACTATGGGTACCAGGGTAGTCCTAACCAGTACTCCCAGCCTCCCCACTCTCCCCTGCAGATTCCCCCTCTCCTCACCTCTCTCTGTTCTCCCTCTCTCCTCAGATTGAAACATCACAATTGGAGCCTGAAATTGCCCGGGCCACCAGCAGCCGGACAGTGGTGTACAACAAGGGGCTGTGAGTGGTAGAGACCAGCCTGGGGATGGAGCATCATCTGGGCTGGGGAGGTGGGGGACAGGGAAGGAGTCTCACGGGGCTGCACTGGCAGGGAGCGGGCAGAGACCCCCAGCCCTGGGCCATCCTAGGGGCAGTCGACCAACCACGGTAGGGAAACTAATCCATTCACACTTTAACATAGGGGAGAGGAATTCTGACACATTTCCTATAAAAATTAATCAAGTGCATTTTTGGGCCTTACGTGGGGTTGTCACAACTCCGCTGAGCACAATTATGTGTAAAGCTGAAAATTTGTAGAGTGCCCACTGGGTAGAATTTGGATTCTTTTATACTTTGGTTTCTTTTTTATTTTTTATCAGAATCAAGTTGTAGCCTGGCTTGTAGCTGCCCAGAAGTGATCTTGGGCAGGTGGTGGGAGCAGGACAGGCCTGGGGGTTGGGGTTTGGTGCCAGGCTGGTAGATTTAGGATTTTGAGGTGGCTGGGAGGGGAGGAGAGGTGGTCTGTGCCCCGAAGGATCAGCCAGCCAGGACTAAGGTCCTCGATAGGGGGTCCGGGAAAGTCAGGGAGCACTGGAGGCACTGGAGGGTCCTCAGGTGTGGCCCGCCCATCCATGCTGCAGCTGTGGAACCAGTCTTTCTGCATGAAGCCCGGGACACACTGGGGCTGGGGTCACCTTCACAGAGCCCTGACTGATGTGGGGTCCCCCAAGATGACCCCAGCTCCAGGCAGGAGCCCCAGGAAGGAATGACACTTGTGGAAACGTGTGCCCGCACTCCAGCCTCCGCGGAAGCTTCTCCTTGGAGGCAGCAGGCTGCAGCCGTACTAGAGCTGGGCACTGGGGCTGGAGCCAGGCTGATGGCTGTCGGGGGAGCCTCTCCAGCACCGAGGCTGCCGGCCCCCTCCTCATCTTTTCCTGAGTAGGGGAGTCTTGTGCCTGAGAGTGTGGAGGCAGAACTCTAGGCACTCTCTGAGAGGCAGCACCAACCCAGGAACAGACAGGCCCCAACTTGGGCACTAGTGGGCTGTGTGGCCTTGGACAAGTCCACTCCCTTCTCTGTGTCTCCACTCCCTATTTGGAACTAGAGGACTAGATTGAGGGGCTTCCATTGTCTCTTCCAGCTTGATCTCATCTTTGCCTTTCCAGTGCAGATGCTAGCCCTCCCATGGCACTTCACTGTGGATACTGGACTGGGATGGGGGCAGGCCCCTTTGGGCATAGCCAGCAGATGGCCTCAGAACCTAGACCTTGCTCTTCTGTGTGCGATCCCACATCCCCAGAGCAGTTAACCTTTGCGAAATACTTTATGTTTTTGGAGGAGGAGGCAGACATGGATGTGTGGGGCCACACTGCATGCCACCTGTCACCCTGCACGGGCTCCCAGAGACCCCTTGCTGCTGGCCCCCATCTCCCTGCCATCTGTGGTCCAGGAGAGAGGGGATGGCTCTGCAGAGGGAAGCAGGGGCCGGGGCGGAGGTGGGTGAGCAGGGTGACCACCTCATCTGAAAGGCCCAGGTGAAGGGGAAGCACTGGCCTCAATACATACCCCTCACTGGACCCCAGCCGGAAAGGGGGCCCTCGACATGCAGCCCCAGGGCTTCCCCTGCCCTGACTGTGGGGGGACCTTGGGATCCCTAGCCCAGATGGTGAATACATGCCATTCAGGAAAAGGGGCTGGTGCAGGGCAGCGACGGGTGGCCCCAGGAGGCCTTTCACTACCCTGAGGACAGGAGTCGATTTGGTGAGGAGGGTCTTCTGTGGGCACTGGCACTGTGCTCCCTTGGCCTCTTGGCCACTCCCCAGTGTCCACCAGCTGGCACTGCAGGAAGTTGCCCTGTAGGGCCCCCACTGTCCTGAGGAGCAGCACACCTACCTGCCCATCAGGAAGGAAAGAAGGCAGAGATAAGCCTGGAGGGCAACGCAGCGGGAGACGGGTTCCATGGTATGGGAGGGGCAGATAATTTTGAGCCAATCCCGCCATAATGTGAATGTGCCAATTAATGCGGGCTGTGCTGGTCTCTTGGCCTGGGCTAGGGGCTGGGCATGCCTGGGTCCTCTTTTGAACCGCTCACTTTAAGCTCCCTCTGCCCCCACTTCCCATAGGTTCTTGTTCTTGTGTGCTTGACCTTGGGACCAAAACTTCCTACCCACCCCTACTCCCACGTGCTCCAGAGGTCTCATGGTCTTATTCCCTATTTATTTTGTCTCCTGAATGATTTCTGATCATGCTCCCAAATGCAATTTCTGGTGAGCTAAGGCAGCTCCTCCTGTGAGAGTAAGGAGGCAAAGGATCCTTCTAGCTCAGGATGATGGCAACGGGGACAGTGAGCCATGCTGCTAAGCCCAGGTCTGGCTGAAGAAAACCCCATGAGGAAACTATCAGCCAACTCTCATCCCCCCACTCCGCTAGGACCAGAGGAAGGGAGGCCTGTTGGGCAGATTGGTTCATGACTGGGGCAGGGGGTCGAACGTGGATCCAGTCAGTGCAGGGCTGGCCCAGCTGTGCCAGAATGCTGGCCTCCAGCCCTGGTGTACCTACCCAACCCTCCTCTGGCCACTTCAAACATTCCCTCGGGATTGGGGAGGCCCTTCTCCCCGTTTCCAGAGAGCAGAAGCCCAAGAGGCCAACATGGCTGCTGAATCAAGATGGACAGACCACCTTCCCACTCCCTGATCGTGAGCCGGCTTGCTTCCTGTCCTGGACCTCTGGCCTGGGAGAAGGTTGGGGTTCCCGAAGTGGTCTTCCAACCTTGGGCTAGTCTGATTGAGGGGCCAGTACATGCCTCGGCCACATCCAGGGGACTTTGCCGAAAGCGCAGTATCTTTTTAACCTTCTCAGAAAATATCTCAATCTCTGTGATTGATGTAATACTAATGAGCTGTGGGCAATAAATGATGGATTTAAAGCATTAGGACTTGGCTTTGTGAACTGTGGGCGGCATAGCTGGGGATGAGATGGGGGTGGTGACACAGGTCAACAAGGGCTCAGGCAGAGCATTTGGGGGCTAAGGCCCCGAGGAGGGTGCAGGTGTGGCCTGGGGCTGCAAGCCTTGGCTCAAGGGTGGGTCAGGTCAGCTGGGAGGCCCAGAGGGAAGGAGAGAGGAAAGGGCCCAAGAGCGTGTGAGGGCAGGAAGGTAGGCAAGGAATGGGCTGAAACTCTGCCGAAGGACCTCCTACAGAGTGGTTATTGAGTGCTCACTAAGGGCTCCACCTCAAGGAACTTCAGTAAAAAGGAATTTTGATAGATTCCTTTACAGTTTGTATCCATATGGGGCTGGGATTGAGGGTGAAGCGTCCTTCCTAGACTGCCTGGGGCCAGGAGGGGCTTCATGTTGTTGTTGGTTGCCATCCAGTCCATTCTGACTCATGGAGACCCCGTGGGTGCAGAGTAGAACTTCTCCATAGAATTTTCAAGGCTGTGACCTTTTGGAAGTAGATGGCCAGGGCTTACTTCCAAGGTACCTCTGGGTGGGTTTGAACCATCAACCTTTCAGTTAGTAGTCCAGTGATTAACCATTTGTACCACCCAGGAGTATCTGAGAGTCTTCATAGGGAGGGGGAGAAAATAGTTGCCATCAAGTTGATTCCAACTCATGGTGACCTCATGTGTGTCAGAGTAGAACTGTACCCCATAGGGTTTTCAGTGGCTGATCTTTTGGAAGCAGATCACCAGGCCTTTCTTCCAAGGTGCCTCTGGGTGGAGTCAAGCATGTTAATCGTTTACACCACCCAGGGACTTCGTAAGAAGGAAAGGTCTAATCCAAATGGAAGGTGCGTGATGTCAGCAGGGTGCTTGCACCACCTGGGAACTCTGCCCCTTCCTAACTCCTCCACAGTCCTTTCAGGGGAGGACTAGGTACCTCCTAATATCCCTGGCTCCTCCTCTTCCAACAGCCCCTAGAGTTCCTGAGTGAGGCCTGGTCTCCTCTCTAGGATGTCCTTCAGAGGTGGAAAGAAAAGCTGATGGCCTCCCATGCCAGGGGACCATGTAGTAGAAAGAAGCCCTCACCCTGGAGTCAGGCAGACCCGGGGTCCAGCCCCAGCTCGGCCCCATCATGACCCTGGGATTTCTCACCTGTTTCTTTGTTCACCCATTCATTCGGTCAGGGGTCTGTTGAGCATGTTCTCTGTGACACGTCTCTAGCTGAGGCTTGGAGTCCTTATCTATAAAATGCCAAGAACAGCATCACTCCTGGACTGTTGTAGGGATTTGTGAGACCAGGGGAGGAATGCACGCAGACTCTTCTGTCCCGCTTCGCAGGTATCATGGTGGCTGCTGCCTCCCCTGGCCTGGGAGCTGGGCCCCCCTAGGAGGGTGGGAGGAGGGAAAAGGATGGAGGCCAGGGGCTTCTGGTCACTGGGGAATTTCTTTGCTAAGAGCCCACAGGCCACAGTCCCCATCCGGGCGGAAATCCTTGACTCTCAGGACAGACACAAATCCCTCCTGGGAGCTGTTTGTTGTTTTTAGCTGGGTTGGGGGCTCAGCTCCTGCCCAGCCAGGAGATCATTAACACTCCAGGAATGCAGCCTCCCCTGCCCCCACCCACCCGGGCCCAAGCCCTTCCCTCCTCCCACTCAGGTGATAGATAGAGGGAGGGTCAGAGAAGCTAGGGGATGAGGGCAGTGATGAGTGACCCTCTTCCAAGGCCCTGGGAGCCTGGCCTCATTTTCAGAATGGGGCCTCCCTCAGTCCCCCAGAGCTGCTGCTGCTCCTGCCATCTCATCCACACCCTGGCCACTGATTAGCCCCCCAAACAGGAATGTCTCAGTCACCCTCCTGAAGGCCTAACCCCCACAGGCCCACTCTTCCTGCACTACCAGGTGTCTCACAGGGCAGTGACCGAAAAGAGTTCATTCTCCATCCCCCACTCTGAGGCAGCTGCTGGCAGCCTTGTCACAGGCCAAAGTCTGGCTCCTTCCTGACAAGGATACCGCCTCAGCCAGAGCAAGAATCTGGGGCCCCATCCCACTCTAGTTCCCTGGGAAAAGGGGAGACCAAAAAGGG